AAACAATTATATATACGTATGCATGTATATATATATATATATATATATATATATATATATATATATATATATATATATATATATATATATATATATATATATATATCACATCCATACATCTTTTTATTCTTTTTATCATCTTTTTATATCACATCCATATATCTTTTTATTCACGTATAATAAGAAAAATATGATGTTACTTTTTGTTAGCTGTCAGGTATTTCAATTCTTAGTAAAGTTTAATAAAAATCTAATTCAAATTGTAAATCTTTGCATTTTAGATTATTTGAGGTTATTTTTACTTCTTAGTTGATTGATTTTTTAATGTGATTGAATTTGATTCAAAGCTTAAGTGTTTCCATTAACTTGTGGAAACAATAAAAATTAGTAAAATCAGATGTCTTTTACAGTACACAAATTTTTCTCAATAAAAAATTGCTCAAATTGTAAAGGTTTCTCACCAAACCTCAATGCAAGTACAAAAAAAAAAAAAGAATTCTAAAGAGTTTTGCCTAAGGCGACTACCTCACTATAAAACAATACCAAAACCACACAGTATCATCTGTATTATCTGCCTGAAGAAAAGAAAAGAAAAAATTTTTTTACCCTCAGTAGTGATCTGGCTTGTCATTTGTGGGCAAGGAACAAGACTATTTAACACACGATTTTAAATTTTATCACATGGGGTTACTCTAAGTACACAAAAGTAACAAAAAAGTGGTGCACCTGACGAAAGGTATTGAACTGCAGAACATTCAAGTTTCTCAAAAATTTTCCTAGTCTTGTGTTATTTAGCAACTTTGAGGAATAACTTAAAAATTGTTCAAAGTCAATCAAAAATAAAAACAAAAAGAAGCAAAAATAAATTATCTGGATGAAAAACTATTACCATACAAATTTTCAGGTGATCAACTTTTTTATTTACAAAGTTATAGTCTGTCAAAAATCAAAAAAATCTACTGTTAGCTCCACATATTAAAATTTTTCCGATTTTGTTCAATATTGAATCATTATAACTTTTAAGTGGTTTGGTCAATTATAAGCTGAAATTTTCAGAATTGCGTTTTATTTTATAAACTTTGTGGGTGGTCAAAATTTAAAACAAATCTGAGATGACACTTTAGGGCATTTTCAAAAAACTAAGTGATTTCATATGTAATAACCCATATGTGTACTATGTTTACAAGAAAAATTAGAAATTATTACTTATTTTGATCAAGATAATTTACTAAACAAAAAATCTGAATTAATTTCGAAATGCAGACATGAAAACAAGAACCTTTTAAAAAATATGAAACCTTTTTTAAGAAAAAAAAAAAAAAAAAAAAAAAAAAAAAATATATATATATATATATATATATATATATATATATATATATATATATATATATCTTCTATAGCTGATTTATATAAGAATTTGCTCATTAGTTTTGCTTATCTTTATAGCCTGCTGTGTTTTTAGAAAAAGAAGAAAAAAACAAAGAATAATGAAAGATAAGATTGCTGCCCAATCCCAAATCCTCATTTGATGTAGCAGCACTCCACTGCAAGTCAGGCTATTTGTCAGTCGATGGATGGACTGAAGTCCCCAGCAGCAGGCAATTTCAGTGAGACACCAGAGTGCTTATCTAAACAAGCAGTTTAAGTTATAATAGTAATACACACACACACACACACACACACACACACACGCAATTCCTATTGTTATAGCACTTCACAACTGCTTACATTAATTGTTATGGCTAAACCTTATTATTGTTAATTAATTATATATATATATATATATATATATATATATATATATATATATATATATATATATATATTTATATATATATATATATATATATATATATATATATATATATATATATATATATATATATATATATATATACATATATATATATATATATATATATATATATATATATATATATATATATATATATATATATATATATATATATATATATTTGCTATAGCATTGGGAAGAGTGAAGTACCTACCTAAAAATAATAAAGTGTAAACATCTACAGAGCTTTCCTGAAACAACTTTATGCAGACACAGAAATCAATTCCATGAATCAGTTTTAGAAAAATATTGTTACAAGAAAAACAATGAGGTAAAGCAAGATAAGATGATCTTTATTTATCTTCTTTATGATCTCTATTTATCTTTCTTCTAACAAAATGTAATCAACTAGAAGTTTATCTTCTTTATAATAGAAGAAGATAAACTCCAATCTTCAGTATGTTCAGTATCTTTAGAACTGACTAAAAAAAATTTAAGAAAAATTGGCCTACTAATTAGGGAAAACACAAACACAAAAGTATGATTTTAGGATAAAACCCTAACAGCAGTTAAAAATTGGCTGAAAATCTTATCAAAGAAATATTCAAAATAATAATTACTTTAAAAAAAACCCTGAGGCAACAAGCCTGGTTCAATTGACTGCTTTTAACAGAAAAAATGTAGCATCTACCTTCAAGCATTATAAAGTAGCTCTTGAACTTGAATAAATCCAGAGTACTACAGCATTTAATAAAAAGAATGTTGAAAAAAACAGTTTTAGTACTGCCCATAATCAAAGGTCAAAAGCAGGTTCGGGTCTTATACTCGGCAGTGCAAACCCATTAAGATGGTAAAATAAAAACTTGTGTTTAGAACTTTTGAAATATTTTGTAAAACATACTCATTCAAAAAAGGAAAATCCATCCATTCTTCCTCCTGATAACAATGAGAGCCATATATTGATACCAAAATTCTAACAGGCAAAATATAATTAATACAATGGTACCATTTTATCCACACATGAGTCACATAATGCAGCCATAAGGCCTATTTGGCCCATTTAGGACTTATTACAACAATAAAAAAAAAATATTGGATTTTGCAAATAGAAAATGTTGGGAAAGTAGCAACAATTTACAATGCATCAGAAATTGTTGAACAAGATTTTCAAAAACTGCCAAAACGTTTTTCCTAACTTTTTTAATTTTACTAATTTGAAGGATAAAAATCCATCTATTAAAGCGAATTAACAAAATTGTAAAAAGGAAATTTTGCCTTACCTACAAAAAATAAATACATTGATTCTGATAGTATGGCAATTGAAACTACTTGAACAAAGATACTTGATAATACTTATAGTACAAGTATTATTAAGTATCAACATAAGTTATACTGATTCTGATACCATGACAACTGAGACAATTGAATTTTGGTAGAGTTGTAGTGTTGAATACATCAACATAAATAATCTTACCTCAGAAAAAGAAGGTATTGTAAAACTTTACTAGTTGTAAAATTATCAACAGCTGCAAAGTTATCATCAAAAATATTTTTTGCAATGTTTTTATTAAAGACGTTGGTTAGATATAAACACACTTAGTCAATTATCAATACACAAAGCAAACATGAAAGAACTAAATATTTTGACAATATCGTACTAAAAAATTGAAAAAATAAAAATTATTTTTTTCATTTTGATGAAAAATATTTGAACCATAATGAACACCAATATATAAAAAAAAAATACAAAAGAAATAAAATTAGCTGTTATTGTTTTAAAAGTATAATAAAATTTTTAGACACAATTATATCAAAAAGTTGATCAATTGTATTACACAAGACTAGACCAATTGCATTCTATACGTATATATTTTGCAAGTGCTAGATATTCAAAATAAGTACATTAAATCATTATATAAAGGCATTTTACTTGCATTGTATGTTTAAGATACATAATACGTCGGTAGTTTTTCCGGTACCTAGAACCGGATACTTATTCGCAATAACCGGCATCTGGCATACTATTCACGGTTAACATGGATCCTTATAAGGCCTACCTAGCTGTCCCAAGAACGCCACTTATACTGAAAGTTAGCGTACACATCGAGGTACCCTATGATGCAAATTTTGAAATCATTTAATTTAGTCCGCTGAAATGTATTTAATTTTAATGTTTAAATTTTGATTTCATAGTGCGCCAATAAAAATCGGTGCAAATGTAGCCAATAGTCACACCAAACTCTGGACAAAATTTCAGCCTGATTGGATGACTGGTGAAGAATTTATTGCAGTTTTAGTTGAAGTTTTGTCAGTTTTTTTGCTACTTATACCTCAAAGCGTTACCGATTACTTTGAAATTTGGTCACTATTTTTAAAATAAACGGTTACGCGAGTGTTCTACTATGTAATACCAACAATTTTTGTTTAATTATTTTATCGGTTCATGTACAATTTTTATTTTATAGACCAAAATAGTGATTTGCTACTTAAAGCGTGATTTGAATTGGCTTATACCAATGGCGTTGACACGGCCTTTAAAGTGGAGGGGGTAAACCCCTCAATTTCTAAAAAAAAATCCATATTTTCTAAAATAGTTGCCTATATTTCTAAAACAAAAGGTCCTCGCAAAAACAAAGTAGAGAAGGACATGACCCCTAGTCTCCCCGAAGTTAACGGCCATGTATGTTTCGCTTGAGTATACCAACATTTCCTAAGGAATAAACTGCTGCCAAAAGGAAAAACCTAAAAAAAAGTGCCAAACCTGGTCAAAGCGCTATCAGTTAGAAAAACAAAAAAAAAAGTAGATCTCCTAAAATATTTTTTATTGACCTCCTTAAATACATTTACTTTTAAAATGAAACGAAAACTATTTAACCCAATTTTTTACATTGTATTACCATCAAATATCTATTTATATTTTAAGAAATGTTTTTTTGATTTTGTCCACCAAAAGATTATTAATAAATAACTCAATGTACTCTTTTAGTACAAATACTCTATAATACTACTTTTAAAGATGGTGAAATGTTCATTAGACGCCGTAAATAATGAACTTCAGCAGCCTAATTTCTAATAACTCAAATAATGTTCTTAAAAGATGCTTACTGTTTAGATCATTTATGCAGCGGAACAATCTTTCTTTGTACTTTGGATGATTATTATTTCGCTTATACCTTGACCAATGTTGATAAAAATCTTGATGAGA